AGAGAGAGATAGGTATCCTAGTGGACAACTACTTATTTTTCAGAGTATAAGACACACCTTTTTCCCTCAAAGAGGGTGAAAATCTCTGTGCATCTTATACACTGAATGCAGCATTTTTGGCCTCCCCAAACCCTGCCCCCTTTGCAAAAAATGGCCATGCATAGCCTTTAGGAGGCTTCCAGAGTGCTCCTGGGGGCTGGAGAGGGCAAAAATGAGTGAAAAATGGGCTGTTTTTGGCTTGTTTTTGCCCTCCAGCCCCCAGGGCCCACTGTATAAGCCTCCTAAAGGCTATCTGTGTCCACCCCCCCCTTTTTTTTTTTTACAAAAAACGGGCCCATTTTAGCAAAAAATGGCCTGTTTTGGGGAGGTCTGCAGAGTGCAAAAACTTTTTTTAAAAAAATTGCTTCTTCAAAATCTTGGTGTATCTTATACTCCGGTGCGTCTTATACTCCGAAATATATGATAATTTTCCTGAATAAAAATATGCATGTTGCTCTTGGGAGGCTCTGAAGGATTTGAATGACAGAGATGCCAATTTACCTTCGTTATGGATCCATGATTTTGTTTGTTTCTAAGAGTGAATATTTGGCTGACAGGCTTTAACATGTTATGACATAAATGGGTTTATTAAATTGCCTTTCCAAGCTTGAATATCGTAGAGCCAGTTTGGAGAGCCAGTGTAATCTACTTGTTAGGCTAGAAAGTGGGAGACGGTGAGTTCTAGTCCTGCCTTAGCCATGAAAGTCAACTAGTTGACCTTGGGCCAGTCACACACTCTCAGTCCAGTGTCCATCTCACAGGGTTGTTGTTGTGGGGAAAATAGCACCCAGAATATATATTGGTTATATTTGCCATTTTGAGTTATTTGTAAAACAAAAAAAAACAATATAGGCAATCCATCAATCAATCAGCAAGTAAGCTTATTGGTTGGAACTTTTAAAATTGCAAATAAATAGTAGGGATGATTCCTTCTTCTCTTACTTTAAGATACATTATGGCCCCATCAATATATGCTTGTTATCACAGTTTCAAAACAGAGGTGGTATTCAGCAGGTTCTGACCAGTTCTGGAGAACCGGTAGTGGAAATTTTGAGTAGTTCGGAGAACGGGTAAATACCACCTCTGACTGCTCCCCCTCCCCCATCTATTCTCTGCTTCCTAAGTCCCAGCTGATTGGGAGGGAATGGGATTTTGCAGTAACCTTCCCCTGCCACTCTCACCAAGCCACAGAACCGGTAGTAAAAATGTTTGAATCCCCACACTGGTTCAAAAGGAAATGTATTTCAACTCAAATACATCCCAGGCGATATATGTGGACATAGTCAAGATAAACATAAAGTTTTGGGAATAACAGCATTGTTTGTCCTTCACTTAGCAAAATACTCTGCTCAATTCTCTTTGGGTGTTTCCAGGTACGACTGTCCTTTGTGTATCCCAATGACTACACCCGGTTGTCACACATGGAGTCACTTAACAAATGCATCTACCAGGAAAGTGACTTGTATCTGAACAGGTAAATAAACTTCTGCCATAACTTTTTTATGGCTGCTAAAATATTTTTCAATCACTGGAATTTTCCTTAAGGAAATGGGTTCAGGGAATGGAGTGGAATGGAATGGAATAGAATAGAATAGAATAGAATAGGACTCTTTATTCTCATTTTATATGTAGTCAGCATACATTAAAATGAAATTTGGTTGCATTCAGCTCTCAAAAGATAACCATTATGCATATACCCGCAGAAGCCAATGACTAATAAGAATAACTGATAGTGTATTAAGTCTAAAAGCAGATTGAAAAAAACTTATGCACCATTAAAAATTGTTTTTTTTTTAAACTGCATCAGCTAATTTTCATGATGCTCATGAAATATTTATCTCGGGCAGGGAAAAACCAAGAAAGAGTGCCCACCAATTCTAGCTACCAACACCCTGACGAATGGCTTCTCACTATTTTTAATCGGAAAATGAAATTTTAATGGCGCATAAGTCTTTTCAATTCTCTGACATGTAATTTTTCTGTATTTGAGGAAAGGCCATTGGCAGCATCCATGGTCCTGTAACTGTGCTTTATGATGGTTTTGACAAAATAGTTCTGGAGCAGACAATAGGTTCACTTAATAACTGCAATGTTTGTTTAATGACTGCTGCAATCTGGGTGTCCCAAATAAATAAATAAATAAAATTGGGTTGGTTGCCTGACCCATTTCGTAACCATTGTGACATAGACCATAATTGAGCCAAGGTGGCGCAGTAGTTAAATGCAGCACTGCAGGCTACTTCAGCTGACTGCAGTTCAGCAGTTCAGCTGTTCAAATCTCACCGGCTCAAGGTTGACTCAGCCTTCCATCCTTCCGAGGTGGGTAAAATGAGGACCCGGATTGTTGG